GCCAGCCATGCGCCCTGGGCTGGCACCTGCCGCACGCCCGGGGGCGGGGCCAGCCCAGATTGCTCTGCGGGCGCATGTAAAGGGCCCGGCAGGCGCCATGGCGCCCGCGGGCACCGGGCTGGGGACCACGGCCATAGACGGTATGCCTATGCCAACAGAAGTGTTTTTCCATCAGTGTAGGAATACCTCCTTCCTACACAACAGTAGGTATATTGACAGGAACACTCTTCCATTGACACAGCTGCATCTATGCTGGGAATTAGATAGGCTTTGCTGTGTCAGTGAGGGCAGAGGTGTTGATTTTTCACACCCCTTAAATGATGTAGCTATGTCAGTTTAAATGAGAGTGTAGACCAGAGAAGATCAGTGTAAGAGATCCAGATCTGATTCTCGGTCTGCTGTCTATGCTGGAGTTGTCATCATCTGGAAGCAGTGCAGAAACTGATCACACACAAGTCTCTGGAGAAAAGAAGACTCACCTCTCACTTTAGGCAGTCCTTGTGGTCCACAAAGACATGGCATTGTTGGTCTCTGGAATGAGTTTCATCTAGTCTTTCTCTGAAAAGGAAGACAATTGAAATGCCAGATCTTGAGGCATAATACTGGTAGATGGTGCACTTTCCTGAGGACCAGATGTGGGGAAGAAAGATATCTTCTGAGCAACAAGGGGAAAATATCTCCTGTTGAGAATGTACAACATTCCATATTTAGGGTTATTATCCTCTGATAAATCATATGTTCATTTTTCTTGAAATGTTTATTTTTCTACAGATTTAACCTACAGGAGACTGTTACTAGTCAATGTTACTTATATATTTCTGCGAGCAGAGGGATTCAATCTGATTTATCTACTATATATTTGAGAGTGTTTGCCTGTCTGTCTGTCTCTGTTTAAGAGCTCCTCCAAAACCGTAAGAACTTGGACCACCAAATTCAGTATACAGCTTCCTCTTATCATAACTTAAAGCAAGGTAAGGGTCTGGTTGTACCAGGAAAATGGGATTTGCCTGTATTGGGATTGCTTCTCAGAAAATCATAAAGAAAAAAGACAGAATCACCAGGCAAGTAAAAGGGATTGGCTGAGGACATAAACCCCCAAACCTCCCACCCACAGCTGCTCCAGGTGGGGTAGCCTACCCCCTCATTCATACGGGACTGTTGCTGGCTGTTCCCCTTTGTCAGAGAGTGAGGAGAAAGTGCGCAATTTGCTGCATTTGAATTTGGGTAGTTAATGCTGCTACAAATTACAATACATTATAATTAAGACTTCATAATAATCTACTTTGTGTCTCACTAAATCTGCAAGAAGCTATGTTAATTTTGACAACAAGTGGAAAAACACAGCAGTGAATCCATTCTCAAATGATATACCTTAATGTATGGAGGATCCTGTTGAGAAGAATTTCGAAAATAATCATGGTTTATTAGCTGCACAGTCTTTTCCCCTTTGTTTCTATTCATTTAATTTAAAGTGAAACAACTCAGCATGCAAAACTAAAATTAGCTGCAAAAAAGGTATAAGTGAATAAACAGGCAAATCCATTAGAGTCGATGGGTTATTGGATCCCTTGCCATTCCTCAGATGGCAGCCTATTAAAAGTGGTAATGTCTGCCCCCAGCATTGCCTCCAGGCAAGAAAGAAGGCCAAGACAGGCATATTTCACATGCATCAGACACAAGAATTAAATAGACCAATGTTCCCTAAAAGACTGAAGTACATCTCTTTCTGACGTTCATCTCGGGCAAAAATTCATTGATCTCAGTATGTCCCTTGGCAATTATAAAATATTAAATCCAAGTCACACTTTTCTAGTTGGCTTAATTTTTTCTCTATTCACAGCTTTCTATTTGATCAATTTTAACAAGTTAGGAAGAGCATCTAATAACATAAAAACTGCAGAGTTAAAAAGTTTGTTCATTTGACATTCTTCTTGGATTTTTATATTTAGTCTTTAGACTTGCATGCCATTTTATTGTATTTTAAATAAATTTTCATTCTGAATAGGTTAAAATAAAATATATATTAATGCACTGTGTCTTTTGAATTAGTATTTTCTTTCTAGAGCAGGAAACTTGATATAGCAAGTAAAATCTGTATTTTAAAGCTAACTCTCTATAGCAAACCACAAGAATTTTTAACAGTATGAGACCATAATTATCTCTACCTCTTGTTCCAATAGGCAGTTTCCCTATATTATGTCAGATTAACTAGCCAATGTAGCTGGAAGCACATGGTCAAAATTAATATTTACATAAAAATGAATTTCTCCCCATTTTTAACTTATATTTTAATTTTAAAGTTTTTAAAATAGTTTTTGTCATGAGTCAATATTCCAACATAGTCTGTCTTGTATGAGTAACAAAATGAATAACAGCCGATCAGAACTTTGATCTATTTGAACATAACATCAATTTGAAAATTGTAGTGTATGCAGGACTTTAAAAGGATAGGTTAACTAGTCTTGTTTCGACTTACCACGAGATTGATGCTTCAGAGATCAATCTCCCAAGGTTCAAGTTAGCGGGTATAGTAAGGACCCGCTAAATCGACTGGGGATTGCATCCTTGTTTAACCAGTTTTTCATCAGGTTGCAAGAAGTAAGGGAAGTTGATGGAAGAGTTTCTTTTGTTGACCTTCGCAGTGGGGATGCCGTAGAAATTCAAACTAAGATATGTCAACTCCAACTTCACGTAGCTGAAGTTGTGTATCTTAGTTTGATTTTGTCCTCTAGAGTAGACCTGAGTTACTGCTGATGCAGACAGGCTCTGTTGTGTTCACTTGATCTTTTCCTGCTTAACAGTCTCATTCAGGCCCTTAAATAAGCCACTGTGATGGGCAGCAGCAATAAGCAGGATTGACACAAAAGATATCATGAAGAATGCTCAGTATCTTGGCTGGCTTTCAGAAAACGACTTTTGATTATTTATTACCATCTAAATCACTACACTAATGTGAGTTTGTATGTGAAAAGTTTTCAGACTAGAGATAGGGATAGCATTTTGGTTTTCATTTCAGCATTAAGACTCTTTTTGCTCAGTGCAATTGAACATTTATTAACTTTCCAAGCATATTTTACAAAGAAAATGCAGTTTTAAGTAAACTCAGTAATTATATTAAGTAGGGGGAGCAGTTACCGAAATGGAATAATTCCATTGACTTCCTTGGAGTAGAAAATTTGGCCTGTCATCTGTATGCTTGATTAGAACTACAGTGAATACATACATAAAAATGTTCATTTGATCTTGTATTTCTCAATGGATTTGTGAACCTGCAAAACATTTACATTAATGTTCTAATCAGGTGCCTGAGTTTAGGCATCTTAATCCTTATTTAGGTGTGTTAATACCACCGCACTTGGTTTTGGAATGTGAGAACCCTCCCCACACAGTGAAGGCACTGGGACTCAGGAGATTTTGATTCATTTCCACTCTGTCTCACATAGTCTTTGACATCATGGACAAGTACTTCATCTATTTGTGCCTCAGTTCCCCATCTGTAAAATGGAGATATTAATTCTCTCTGTCTCCTAAACTCTTGCATTTGTATGTTGCCTATCATTATAGATCCCCAGTTTCAGGTGGAGACTTTAGGCACTACTGTAATATAAGGTTATTGGGTTAATTAAGATAAAGGATGACTCAGGTTGTACTTATCTGTAGGACTAAAAAGTGGTCTCGCTGTGATTAACAACACAGTCCAGATTTAATATAATAATTAAATAATCATAAAAGCTGTACTGATTACCTAAGCCATCATTGGTCTTCCATTTAATGGTAAAACCTGTGATGAAGGCAAGTAGACTGTCACCTCAGGAGCAATGTGACATAGAAGTATATAAAGCACATTTTAATAAAATCTAAATTGTCTCTTGAGGTTCCCCTCCTTTCCCTTCTTTCACCTCTATATATATTTAGAGAGAGACTAGCAGAGCCAAAATAAAGATATGAAATATGACCTAGATTCAGTAGTATAATAAATAACCTCCCCGCTTTCTAGCTACCATTCTGTTTTTTCTATCAGTCTCCAGACAGAGCATTCTAGAACATCCAAAGGTTTAACCCATATTCATAAAGCTTTAATTTTGCCAGTCAAAATCTAACTTCCATTTCCTACATAGTGGAGTGGCCAGAGATTTCATTTTTATTAACAAAGTATTCATTCAAAGTTAATTGGACTTATGTCTGAGTAAAAACTACAGAATTGGGTCCAAGGTATTTTCCATTGTTTCCTTTTCTGAGGCCCTATTGCTGTTAACTGTGCATTCTTAATCGCTTCTCATTCATTTCCATCTTCCCCTGAACCTGATGCTTGACAGTCTTAAAGAACTGCCTTCACATTTATTAATTCCAGAGCAGTTTGCTTTATCAGATGAATTGTAAATTCTGTATTTTGACAAAATTAGGCAAAAGAAGATGCCCAGTTTTGGCTATCTTTATTTTTAATGTTGCCTTGACTACACATTATGTAAAAATGTTATGTTTGTTTGTATTGGTACCACTGTGTCTTTGTCTGCAAAACAAATACATTTTAATATTTGAAAAGTTTTTAAAACTGTGGTAGCTAAAGCCCAGCTTTCCATTTTTTTTCAATGTTTTCCCCAGAGTTAGCAGATTTCTTGATCATGTTGGCATGATGTTCTTTTCTGAAATTAATAGCTTTAAAAATTGACAACATATTGCACAACTAGAATGTGCAGTGTTGTTGGTAAGTTATCTGGTTTAAAGAACATTTTATTGAACTTTATTTTTCTTTGTTAACTGCATACTAATTTTAAAGGTCAGTGTGGTTAGTTACCATAGTAGTGACCTAAAAATAACCTTTCTAGTATACCTGTATATTTGTGATCTGTAGTGTTAGCATTCAGAAATGTTCTTTCCCTTAGAGTTTCAGCAGCTAAATAAGTTGCAACCCCTTCAGCTATACTCATAAAAATTTGCTTCCAGACAACATGGTCTGTTTATTGTGTAATAATCGAAATGGCACTAAATTGCAATGATTGCTGAACACTTAGGAATTGCATTAACCACTTAACTGCTAAACTATTTTCTGTTTTCTTCCTCACTGAGAAGTATTATATTGATTTTCCTCTTAGTTAGTGCTGCTTATTCAACCTCTGAGATGAACAGAATATTGTAGTAGCCTCCTACACTGTCATATTTTGAGTCAATCAGCAGTGACCTTGGCTAGGAATTTTCTAGAGGTTTTTTAAAGAGCTATGGAACAAAGTAGCTTGCAGTACATAACCTTGAATTTATTCAAAAAATGGAGGGGGGGAGACCTTTTGCCTAAGTTACCTTAGCAAATGTATCAGTAGGAAGACATTGCTCTTTCTTTCCCTGTGTATGAGAGAAGATGTTTGCTACTCTCATTTAATATTCTGGTGCTCAGACAAATTAGATAAGGGTGATGACGAGGATTTTAGCCAGATATTTAGTCTTGGCCTATAGAGCAGTGTTTGGCATATAATTTAAAACCTAAAGCCAGTATTAGCTGAAATATTTTTTTCTAGCTATCATTCCTGTTTTGAAGGAGGAGATGGAGTGGGTCTGATGATTTCTACTTGTTTCTAACCATTGTTTCTTTAATGAGGTAAACTAGACAGATATTTGGACAATATCAAACTTTAAAGGTCTGTGATCACAGCTGATTTTGTTAGCAAATTTTAACAGAGAATAAACTCCTTCCAAGGGTATATGCAGATAAATTGTTGGGTTTGTATTTCTGAGAGAATTTGGCCAAAAGCTTTGTTTTCTTTTAGTTTTAAAACATCCTACCCCCTACACCTCCAAAAAACCCTTTCTAAAATCTTGGTTGAAAAAAATAAAAAATCAGAGGCTGATATAGGTAAGGAAGAGTTAAACAGAAATTGAGCGGGGATGCTGGGGGGCAGCAGTGCTGCAGAACATAGCAGTGTTCGTGCGAAGGCAAGTCATTTCCCGAAACACTGCAGACACATGGCCTCAGGCAGTCTAAAACCTTTGGAGACCAAAATGGCTCGCAGGAGTTAGAAGTAATAAGGTGTTTTTCCCTTCTTTCTCCTTCACTGAAATTCTGTAAGGTTGCTATGCATTACCAAGGAACAATGCCACTATTTTTGTGTTTTATATGGGTATTAAGATCCATTACAATTTGACATTTTTAAGATTGGTTATCCTGTAGTTTGGTGTTAAATTGAAGTTGTTTGTTTTGAATTTAATTCTTTCATTTTTCAAAGGGAAAGAAGGCAGCACTGCTGTGCTGATAGCTTACTGAAGTATGCCAGTATTTGGCATTGAAATCAAGTCTGCTTGCTATCACAAAATATAGATGACATTATTTTTAAAAGAACTCTAGTTTTATTTGCAAAGTCTGCAGTGATTTTTGGTCAGCTTTTTAAAATCAGAATACAGAAGTACTGTACATTTCCTACTTTTGAGGCACATAGTATCGTGAGATTCTTTTTAACTGTTATGTATCAAAGATGCATTATACTTAATGCAACCTGCTTATGATTATTATAACTCTATGTCTTTGCAGCAGTTAAATAAACTCCACATCAAATAAATTACTGCAACAATGTTATTGGGCCAGCAGCAATGTAAAGGACATCTGTTAACTCTTTTTTCAAGTGCCCTGTCCTTACTCGTATATTCCAAACATTTCTGTTGTTAATTACTACTTGAAGTATATGACATAGCCCTCCAAACGTAATTGTGGAGACTTGGCATAGGAGGGGGAAGTCTGGCTTCAAATAATAATTCTTCTTCTCATCTCCTGTCTTCAGAACCGTAGACTACAGGGGAAAATATCCATACCCCATTGTTTTAAAGTGAGTATTTTAACTGAGTCTGGTAAACTGTGGGACCAGAATATACCTTTTAATTAAAACCTAAGAGCTTGATCCTGTAAACATGTACACCTACAAATAGTCCTTACATTGGCCCATTAGACCACTCACATGCATAAAGATTTAGTTATGTAAGTAAAAGTTTGTAGAATTGGGTTGCCTAAAATTCTAGGTTGTTATTACAGCTGGTCAAAAATGGTTTGGCATAACTTTTTTCTATAAATAAATGCTGTTTTGTCAAAACCCAAAAGTTTCACAAAACCCAAAAATTTCACGGAAGAGTCTCTTTTGCCAACCTTTTATCAGGAAGGTTTCTCAGGTCTAAGGTGGCATTTCTTCTGGGAATCGGGGATGGGACTCAGTGGTTAGGAGAATGGTCCGAGACCCAGTTTTTCATGTTATCCTTTCATTTTCATTTTCATGCAGAATGAGGACAAATTTCGAAAACCCGAGAACTGTAATTTTCTGGCAAGCCTCAGTTTGTGTAGTAAAAGTTGTTTCATGTAGAATCTATTCCTTAGTACTTGTGGAAAATAATGGCTTTTCATTTGAAATTAATTCATCACTACAAAATGTTCCCCTAGCTGAACAAAAGTGGGCCAAATCTTTTGCAATATTAGTGATTTAGTGGGCCTTAGATACTTGACCAGAAAAATAAATTAACTGGATTCTCTGTTTCTTTATGAGGCTTTAGAAGGAAATTTGGGAGAGGGGTTAAGACTAGACAGACCCTTAATAAGATTTTGTCTTGCTGAGCTACATTAAGTCTGCATGGTGTGAATATACTAGTTTTTCATTTATCTTGATCATACTAGTCCAGTTTTTTCATTGGATAATTTCTATGCCTCAATTTACTCTGTATCTCTCTTATATTACTGTACCACTGAAGGCTT